GTCCCTTGCCTCCCAGCTTGCAGTTGTGGTTCCTGTACTGCAATGGATCCATTGGGTTCTTCATTCCCAGTCTGTGCTGCATGCAGGGAGCTTTCTGACCAGCATGGGTAATGGCAGTGGATTCAAGGAGCAGATGCTCACTGCTGGGTTGAAGATGATGATTACAGAAGAGGCTACTGGATATATTATAAACATTTAGACAACTGATATTTACCATTTCCACATTCACTTCCATAGCTGTTTTTGAATATGATCTTTTACTATGAGTTTTTTTAATTTGACATTTAATTTTAGACTAAATTTTTTTAGTAACTGAAATGTGTTAGTGTTACCCCTTTCCCATAAGCTCTGGATTTAATACAGCTTATTTATTTTGGACCACCTATTAATTTTGTTGTGACAGAGTTCACCAGCTTTATGTGTCTAGAAAATAACAATATAATCTTAATAATAACACGTCAGTAATGACAGGAGGTCCTTTAATGAGCTCATTCCATCTTTCTTAGAAGGAAAACAATAAAAAAGGAGTTCATCTTTCCATCGACTCTGGTAAACTACATCCTGCTCTCTTAGCTAGCTGTTTTCATCTAGCACAGTGTCAAGGTACATGCAGACTTGTTTGGGGTTTTTTTTCTAGCACAGTTAATCACTTTGTTATTTGCACCAAACGTGAGGTGAGTGTGTTCTGTTTTCCTCAATCCAGTTCTGAAAAGAAAGCCATATGTTTGCAGTGGAGTTTTCTCTCTATGTTCTCCCATAACAAGGCCCATATAAAACTGCAGAGGAAAACAACACAGAGACTTTTTACCATACTTGAACAACTGCTGGATTCTCCTTATGGTTTTTTTTCTTAGGAGCTTAAACTAGAGAAATTACTTGCATTAAAAAACAATAGATAGTTTTTGAATTCTTCTTTTATGTAATTTGTAGCATTGGTTTTAAATAGAACACTCTTTTGAAAAACAGATTTTTTTTTTTGTGTTCATTCTTGGTTCGGACTCCCCCAGGTAGTGGCAGTCTTGATCTTCTACATAGAAAACCATGAATTACCTTATTTCTTGTATTAAAAAAACACAAAAAACAAAAACAACAAAACCAAACAGCACACCAGAATGCTAACAGACCACTCTTTCTCAATTCTTGTCACCTAAAGGGGACACTGCTTGGATTGTAAATTGTAGGGTACAAGAAAGAGCATTGCCTAGATGTGGCCCCTTCCTTAGCATGAACAGGAGAGTGCCTGCCATACCCTCAAAAAATGTGTTGCAGTGCTAGAAGAGACCAATATCATCATCCAACCTAGCCAAGCAGTGGGAGAAAGTAATCCCTGTTTCTAACTGTTCTTGCATTGAGTCTATAAATCCTTCCCAGAATGAAAACAGAATCTTTTAGAAAAACATGCAGTCTTAATCCTAAACTGTCAGCCTACAGAAAATTCTTGGCAGTATTAAGTAATTTTTCATATGTTATTTTTCTTACTGTGTTAAATGTAACTCTTAACCCTTTCTTCAGTGAAAATACGTACTTATCTGATAAAATCTGAGGTAGATATTTTTAAAATAATATTTCAGCCCTTTCCTGAAACCTTTTAAAATTGTCAGCATCTCGGTAGAAGCATGGAGTCTGGAAATCAAGGAGTTATTCCAGTACAGATTATCTGTTCAGAGCAACTTTCCATGGGAGTTTTTGTCTCTCTTCTTTTCTGTCCTCCTAATTAGCTGGGTTGGGGTTTTTTTGGTTGCGTTTTTTGGGGTTTTTTTGAGTTGTTGGTTTTTTTTGTGTTGGTTTTTTTTGTGTGTGGTTTTTGTTTTGGGGGGTTTTTTTGTTTGTTTTTTGTTGTTTTGTTTGGGGTTTTTTTGCTTTTCAAATGGCATTTCTCTTAAAAGCCTGGTTTACCAGACTTTTCTGATATCCCTTTTTCCCCCCCACCAACCATTTATGTGATTACCTCTTCTTTATCTTCTTTGTTCTTCTGTACATTGGTGTAGTCATGAGGGTCTTCTCGGGGGATGAGGCTACATCTTTTGTTTTCCATGCTCACGAAAACATTTTGATCAAGTTTGGGATGAATCAGATCACTGCATGGCTCTTTCCTGTTTAGAAATAATTTTTCAGTCAGTTAACCAGTTTGCAGCCTGTAAACTCCTCTGATATTTTTATATTGCTCAAAAAAACCTGCCTCAGAATGTCATCTGTGATTAACTCAAATATATTAAAGAAATCAGAGGTAACTGTGTTAATATATTTAATCATGCTTGAGCTCATCAAACCTACCATTTTGATTAAACCTGTTTTCCATAATGCCATGTGGAATGGCATTAATTATGTGCCGTTGATTTGATTCTTCATTGATTGTCTTTGTAGCAATCTTTCCATGGGTGTCTGGAACAACCCATAGCTTGTGTGACCCATTCCTACATGCTTTAGTTTTACTTCTAAATATTGTCCACACCTGAGCTTTTATCCTATTTATTTTCCCATATTCAAAGGCTTTTTTAAAAAATTTGTTTTTGTGATTTGGGGCATCTCCTTTTCCAGCTATTTTGTCTAAGGTATCCATGAACACATCCATCTATTGTACACAATAAATTAGAATATTTCATTGAAAGGAACCACTTTTTAAATTAAAAAAAATTGCATTGGAGCTGTTTTATTCCTAAGTTTTTGTATGTTCTTTTTATTTATTCTTGATATAGTAATTTTTGGTTTGACTTTTCTAGAGCTGCAAATTTGAGGTTCTTCTTTTATATCATCATTTGGGGTTTTTAACTTAGAAATAAAATTTGGGCTTAAAAGCTTCTTGAGTTTTAGGTTTCTTAACATATTTTCTCCCAACTAGAATGTACTTTGACCATTTAATTCCTCCACAAATACTCCATGTGGCAATTCTGAAAGCTCTCTAAACTGTTCCAAACTAGCAGGTGGATTTTTTCTGAATTTTTTTTGACAGTTGCATTGGCCCATATTAGCTTTCTAGCTATAGAAAATTATTATTTATTTAATCATGGCATATACTTCTGTTTTTCAGCAGGACTGTTAAGGGTAATGAAGTTGATTGGGAATTGCTTGGTGTCTATTTAGTTTATAATTTTTTTGTTCATTAATAGATTAAGGTAGGAGTCTTCATGGATTAGGAAGAGATCTAATATGGGATTACTCCAAATTGTGTAACATATGCATCCAGTCTGATTTTTTTTTTCTGGGTTAGGAACTCCAAAGATGTTTTGCCCAATGGAACAGCTTGAAATCTTCCATTGAAAAAAAAAGTTTGTTTCTCCTGTCCAACAGCTGTTTTCTTTAATCCTTTGACACAGCTCCAGGTTTACTGACAATCTTTCTGGCAATTCATGTGTGTAGTGATTAACACACATACTTTCTAGGTCTGCATCTTCAGAATTTTCAGTAGCTCTGTAGACTCTGAAGCATCAGGTATTTGCTGGAGACAAAATCAAAAATTAAGACTCCTGCAAGTTTAAAAACCCAAATCCATGTGATTTTACTTCTTTCTGCCTCTCCCTCACTTCCCTCATATTGTAATGGGAGTCAGCATCCTTACTAAGTTAAAAGTATTTGTTTTGTGTATTAAATATTACCTGTGGTTTCACTACGTATTTATTAATTTCCTGCCCAGGTCTCCTTTAATATATTGTTGTGGGTTTTTCTACCAACTTTTCATCCCAGAGCTGGCTGTGCTGACACTGGAATGGGTAGAGACTGGAAGAAATTAGAGTTTTTCATTCATTTCTTCAGTGTTTTTCTTTAAAGCATTCAGAGACTTTGACAGATGAGAAAATGATACTGAATAGACCTTTATGTTGTTATTTCTATTAACATTTCAGAGTTCTAGGGAAAAATCAGAGTTTTTAATTTTGATTATCATGGCTTGCAGTCATATTGTCTGGCTGTCCAGCTCTCTTTTCCTGATAAATTGAGAGGAAGTGTTACTGTAGAAGGCTGCAGAAATATATGGAACTAAAGGGAAGTAGTGGAGGGCTCTCATGGTCCTAGACCTTGTACAGACCATTTTTTGGCTTGTCTTCCTTCTTCTGGCTGATGTCTATTGATCCTGGTAAATGCTGAAAGCTACAAAGTCTCTATATTAGAGTGTCCCTGCAGTCACAGTAGTTTTATATATAAAATGCCTTATTTATTTAGTTTGATTTTTAAGAAAATAAAAAATAAGAATATCTTCTTTGTTTCTTGAAAGGACAAGAATGTTTATGTTCACAAGTTTGTGCATACTTTCACATTTCCCTTCTGTGGTTCTCTGAGCTAGACCTTCAGTTTCTTTCCTACTTAATGTAGCACCATCAATCCTTCTGTGTGAGAAGAGCACTGAGTGCACCTTCTGCTTCTGATCACTCCAGCTGTTGGCTGCCAACCTCGAAAGCAAGAGAGGGAAGCTAAGGGTAACCTAGGAAAAAAACAAGGTGTGATAGAGATGATCACAGTCCTTGGAAAAATATTTAGTAAAGCAAGCTGACTTAAGAAATAAAGTGAGCAGCTTCTGGAGAGGCTGCTAATCCTGCCTGGAGAACTGAGTTACTGTAAGAGACTGATGAGGAATCACCCACTGAATTTGCACCACTTCTCTGTTTTTCCCTGTGACACCTGCAGGTTTACACACTTGAAAACATCTGCTCATAGTCAGTAGTGATCTCACTTGTGTAGCAAGTCATGGTTCAAAAGGAAAGGCCTGGAAAATGATTTCATACACAGAGTGAATAGTTTGCTGTGTGTAGAGGAGTGCCATCTGCCCTGACTGGTAGTCTCAAAAAAAGAGCACAGACCAAAACCTTGTACTCACAGTGTAATGGGGGCAGCAAGACAGTGGAGCATCACAGGGTCACTAAGCTGTGTGTGTGACTTCATTTCAGCATCTTCTTCCCTGCTCCCTTCCCTCTGCACCTGGCAGTTGAAATGTTCAGCCAGTCTTCAGCTATGTCTTTAGCAGTTTGGCTTTTTTTTTAAACACCTCTTTCTTTCTTTCCCCCCAAAAGCAAAGAATGTCAGATAACCAGGAGAGTCAAATGACCATTGAGGAGAGGAAACACCTGATTACAGCCCGAGAAGAAGCCTGGAAGTCCAAGGGAAAAGGAGCAGCTAATGACTCCACACAGTTCACTGTAGCTGGCCGAATGGTAAAAAAAGGTCAGTGATGAAATGACCCCAATATGAATAAGACACCTCTTATCTGTCTAGTCAAAATAAAGTCAGACTAAAGCTATGCAGAAACAGCATCTGTATTTAACAAGAGGAAGACTGTTTATCTTCAACTGAATATTGTGTCATGAGGTTGTTCACTTTCATTTCTTGTGGGCGTGGTATTGATCCATTTTGTTCTGCACTGTTGCACTGCCATCCACTTATTACTGGGCTCTGTCTGGCTGGTGGAAATCAATCACTTGAACAGGGATATATGTTTTGGTTTTCCTTCTAATACAACCCACAGGGCATAGTTGGATTATTCTTTCTTATTTATTCTTCCTTTGAAAACCCAGCTGCACTATCTAGAGAATAGTTGTGAAATCGAGTTGTTTCTGTTGCTGGCATTTCCCCCACTCCTAGGACCACTGGGAATATTTAGCAAACAAGTATTGTTTTTATGGATGCTGTCTTGGACAACAGCTTGAAGTGTTATGTTTGGCTGAAGATTCCCTGGTTCTGCATAAAACCACAGAGTAGAAATTACAAGGGAGCAAGGTTGACTTTTTTTGGGATCTCTTGAATTCAGTCCCTGTTTCCAGATCTAATCATTCTTCTAAAGTGGACAGGAGTCTCTGAAGACTGCACATGGTAGGAATGCAGCTGTTCATGTAGCATGCCTGGGAAGATGGTAGCTTTGGGAAGAAGGTGCCTAAACTGATCTCTTGTGCTTAATGAATACTAGGGTTCGGATTGTTACAAGGACTTGGTTATTAAACACAAAAGCAATGAACCTTGAATTAAATTATAACCATAAAAAAAAATCATTGTAGGGCAAGGGCAATACTGCAACAGGAGTAACTGTTTGCAATCCAAGCCACAATCTGTTGGCAAACAAACAGTATTAGGAATTATCTCTATTAGTAACATATTTTAGCTGCTGCTTACATTTTACATGGTTTTGCTGCTAGAAATGACAGCTGGTCACTATTTAAAGGGTTCTTTTTGGAGAGTCACCAAGAAAAACGGTTTAGTTGTCCAGAGACTTGCTCTTTGAGATTTTTTTTTTGTTTTTTGCAAATAGATTGGTCTTTGGAAAGGAAAAGAAGGTGGTAGCATCTGCTCTTCTTAATGAGAAAAAAAATTATCTTGACAGGATTTCTTTAGATGCTATGATCATTCTTTTGGAGAAGCAAGGTAATGCAATGACAGTGAAATCAAGAAAAGTAGCCCAAGTGGGATTTTAGTTAGATGTGTACTGGTTTATATCCTGAAAGAATGAATTATCATTATGAGTTTTTAATTTAAGAGATTATGAGAAAGAAATGCAAAATAACATCTTTGTTATATGCATGGGCACAGATGCTGTATTTGAATTGCTTCTTATGGCTGAAAATTATTCGGTCCTAATTGGAAGATGATCCTTTCCTAAGCAGTTCTCAGTGTGGTCTTGTGGATTATGTGCTGGTAGAGCTGCTTAAGAACTGTGTCCTCTTGAGTGTGTCTTGAGGAAGGCTTTACCTATTGACTTAAAACCTGCTGGAATTTTGAGTCTCTTACGTAACAGGGAAAAAATTGCTTGTGAAAAAGCTACCTAGTTATATTCTGTTGTGGGTCTATATTCAAATTTAACAATTATGACAATTATATTGCTAGGACTTGCAGTAAAGGTAGTAGAAACATGTTTACTATATGTTCTCCCAGCACAATATTGGTTTGATCTCATCAAAATGACTAAAGGCTTAAACTTACATGGCTCAGTAATTAGTAAACTATGGCTAAGTGGAAAATACTAGTGTTTACTAGGGGGTGAACAGCAATGACTAGAATAGGACCTGTTCCTTAACAGACTGTCTGGAACTACTGCTTCTAATGGTCCTCTGGGATGAGTAAAAGCTATATGTCAATAAAATATATTGTTATAACATGATTTTCTCCTTTTTTCCTATAATAGAGAAAAGTGTAAATGCCTGTTTCCCCATTTGCTGAAAGCCTAGGCAACAAAAGTTAAAAGGTCCAATTTTTTGCCTCAGCATGCTTTTCTACCTAATGAAACCCATGACTCCTGTAGAGTGTAGTTCTCTTACTAAAGCAGTGTAGCTTCACATGAAAACTAAAACTAAAAAAATCCATCCTTATTTTATCCACTGGTCCCAGAGTGAATTGCTTTATGGTAATTACTGCAAAGGATGGAGGAGAGTACAACAAAAGGAGAGGGCAGTGCCTGATATGGTGGAGACTCTAACTTCCATTTCTACTTCCATTTCCATGTGTTCTTAAAAACCCAACAAGGCCCAAGAATTACTGTGAAATCCAGGGACAGCATTCACAAGTCAGATGCATCCTGTTACTTGAATTAATAGAGATGTGCTTAAATATTAAAAAAAGGGAATAAGAGGGTGGTGGAGGTGAAGATGCCTAGCAAGATCATGGTGACTTCCCTGCTAAACATATTGTTTTGTTCAGAACACTTCCATGTTTTTAAAATGTAGCTTTAAAAATGTAGTTTTTAAAATGGAGCCCAAAATTTAGACCAAATGAACTGCTGCTACCTTGAAAAGGAGCAAAATGATTGTGTTCCAGAGGAAGCCTATATATCTTGTGTTAGCTTGCTAAGATACACTTGGAAATGAAGCTTTTTTCTGGTGAATGGGGTGATTTCTGAGGCTGCTGTTGATTAAAGGAGCAGGCAGGACCCTGTGCCATCTCTTATACAACAGCTGGGGAGGCTGGGGAAGTGTGCTGGCCAGTAGGAAGTAGGCAGGCTCATCTGCTTTCCCCAGATGGCTTCTCTGTTGTCACTGCTGGAAACACAGGCTGACTCATGGCTGCATTTCCTATGTTCTGTGTCCCTGTGCAGGCCTGGCTTCTCCCAGTGCACTCACACCAGTAGCGTCCCCTTTCCGGCAGAAGTCTACCACCCCAGTTACAAAGCCCTTGGAAGGTAAGGAATAGAAATGGCTGAAATACATTCAGGCTTATTTACTTCCTGTCAATTAACAGGTTTTACTTTCTGGTCTACTTAGAAATTGAAGCCAGGCCTGATATGCAGTTGGAATCAGATATGAAGCTTGACAAGTTGGAGTCTTTCTTGGGAAGGCTGAATAACAAAGGTTGGTAGTTATGAAGGGTAGCATTGTATCCACCTTCAGACTTTAGTAAATAAATTAAAGTGCCCCTTAGTTAAAATATTTGGTAGCAGAAATTGAATATTTCTTTGCTCAGACTGCAGTTCCTGAAAATTTTATTTTTGTGATTCAGTCTTTGCTAAATTTTAAGAAGAAAAGCCTTTCACAATTGTATTACAGTAGAATATACAGTAGAATAAATCACAGTAGAATAATATACAGTAGAACAAATCACAGATGCCTAAATAACTTTCTTAGTTCTCTAAAAACATTGTACACATCCTTCGGTAGGGCAGAACATCCTAAGAGCACACAGCCAGTCTCAACCATACTGCCATATACAGTGAAACATCTTTAAACATAGTTTAGTCCTATTAAAATCAAAATAGGATACTAAGCTGCTCCCAAGCACAATTCAATTTCCTGATTTTTGAAAATTGACTCTGTAGCAGTTCATCAGCTTCCTTGTACAGCCTGTTGGCTATTTATATGAAGCTCTCTAGAATTGTGTGGTGTTTCCATCTCATATGTCTGTCCTCCATTGGTAAGACAAAAATCTGTATGTAATTTATAGTGTAACAGATACCATAAACAAATGTATTCACGTTTCAGTACAGGAGGCACTAGTGTAGGATAATGACTGTGCCACACTCACTAGTCTGAAGTAATGACTTTTCCCCTTGTGATTCTAGTATTTTCAAAGGTAGGAATTACATAGTTGGAGGCAAGATGGAATATACAATATCCTAAAATACTTACATCATCATAGTATAGCAACTCTTTTATAGTGTCTAAGTTTTCATTTAGCCATATTTCCCTGCCATTTTATATAATTATTATTGCATATGAGTAACAGTTAGACTCTTTTAGTATTCTTTATCAACACATTTTTCTACCATCAATTTTAAAAAACTATCACAAAAAATCCCCAACGAAAACCAAAATACCACCACCACACCAGAAAACAAAATCACCCAGGCAACTACCAAACAAGCCATGTTTACCTTTTCTAGAGTTAGAAACTCTAGTTATTTACTGGGTGAGGTGGTTTTTTTCCTGCAGTTGCTGGAATGCAAGAGACAGTGCTGACAGTTACAGGAAGATCTGTGAAAGAGGTGATGAAGCTGGATGATGATGAAACATTTTCCAAATTTTATCGCCATGTGGATTTCCCTTCCTCCTCAGTGCCTTTGGACCTTGATGAGGACTTCGATGCCATCTTTGATCCTTATGCACCAAAGTAAGAATTGCTTTTTCCCCATTGTTTTGAAGGCAGACACAAGGGCAGTGTTCAAAATGTTCAGCTCTAAGTCACCTTGTAGGTATCTTAGTACTGGGCACATCCATTTCTTCTGATATCATGCTCCTGCCTGAATTGAGGAACTGATCTTGATTTCTTGTCATTAGATGATTCTGACTAGAAAAACTAACTGATATTTATAAACACTACTTGTTTTTCAGGTTGACATCTTCTGTAGCAGAGCACAAACGTGCAGTCAGGCCTACACGCAGAGTGCAGTCCTCAAAGAACCCCCTGAAAATGCTTGCAGCAAGACAAGATATTCTTCATGAATATACTGAACAAAGACTGAATGTTGCCTTCATGGAGTCAAAGCGAATGAAAGTAGAAAAAAGTAAGCTAGCAGGATGATTTGTACAAGACACCATCTTGCCTTTTTAATTAAAAAAAATCCCAATGCAAAAAACTGAACTGAAGGAATGGAAAATATTCTCTGAGTGGCAATAAATTGATTGAGGTATAAGGCACAATGCAGACTGCCTAGGAGGCCTGGAGAGAAGGGCATGTGTGACTTCCTCAGGGAAAGCTACCTAGAGCCACCTCCTGTCCTGATTTAATTATTTGTTTTTAGCACAGTCACCTTGTGCAGAGAGGGAGAGAAAGCCAGGATGCCTGCAGGGTGTGCAAGGTGAGGACAGGAGATCAAGGAAAGCAGATCAAATTTTGTCATGCTGGGGTGAGAGCTAGCAAGACTAGATGAACTTTTGTTCAGGTACACTGGCCTCAATTTTGGGTCCTAATTTTCTCTCAGAAAGCAGAATTAGCCTTCTTGACTCCTTATGATTAATTTCCATGAAGGATCAGTGCTTTGTGGCAGGGCTTATACAAGGTGGTTTACTTGTGGAGTTGCTTTCTCCTGACAACCAGACAGACAGCAAAGACATCATTGTAAAATTTATGCAAAAATTTATCAAGCCACTCTTACACTTTGGGGTACAATTTTTCCATATTACACTTGAGTAAAGAAAGATCATCTTTATCAATTGATTGTATTGATGAGAACACTAACTATATATGTAATACTTTGTTGCCATCTCATGAGAAGGATTTCCCTGAGTTATAAATTCATAAAATGTCTTGTCTTTGGTTGAGCAGTAAACAAAAGTAGCCAATAATGTGGGCTGTAAGTTTACAGTAAAATATGACTAAGACTTTGAAATGTAAATGGGTGTTGCATCACACTGTCTCAGCCAAATTTTAAGGGAATTACAGTTAATTAGCCTTGTCTCTGTGCTGTCTTTTATTATTAATTACTTATAAGGCATTGAAGATCTACACAGTACTTCAGAAAACATTGGGTAGAATGGTTCCTAGCTAAGTTGGTATTTCTGCCAAATAGCATAATTCTGACACTGACAGTGTACTCTTGGTTATCTAGAAATTTAGGTAATCCTAAACCCACAAATCTTTTGGACTGGTAGTTAATCTGAGTTCAACCTGCCTTTGTTATTGCTATGGAGAAGAAGAAAAACTGGAAATAATGGACAGAAATTCTTTTCTTAATGCAACAACCAATTTTTAATTATAATTTTGTTATTTTTATGTCTTTCTGCCTGTCTTTCCTCCAATTTCTTTTTATGTACAAGTGTCTACAAATTCAAATTTCTCAGAAGTAGCACTTGCTGGCCTGGCAAGCAAAGAGAACTTCAGCAACATTAGCCTGCGGAGTGTTAATCTAACAGAGCAAAACTCTAACAACAGTGCTGTGCCATACAAGAAGCTAATGCTCCTGCAAATTAAAGGTATGCTGGAACTCCTTTTACTTGCCATAAATAGTAGGCTGAATGTAACATGTAGGAGTTGCTACCAAATTTAGATGCTTAGCTTGTTCTAGATCTTCAAGTCAAGATTTATATCCAAAACTATTGAAGAAATAAGTGATAATTGTGTAAAAAAAGTTAAACCTTACAAATAGGTTTGCACTGGTCCCTGGTGTGTGTTTCCCAAGGAGAAAACAGAATATTTCAGAAATTCTGGCTATCCCCTGCAGAAATTTTTAACTGTCCCCTTTTTCCAGTGCTCAATCTAACTTGGAAATTACATGACAGTGTTCTTGCTCCAATTTCCCTTACAGTGCATAGTAACATATCTGATTCTGAAAATAACTAGGTTTTGGAAAGCAAAATTCTTAAAATTCTTAAATTCTTAAAACTTTTTACTGCCTACAGAAATTGCGCTATGGCTTCACTTAAGCAACTGTGAAACGTTCTGGAATTTTGCTGCTGTCTGCCATTTACTTGATTAGTTTCTTTCCAGAAGGACACAGAGTTGTTAAAGCAAGAACAGGAAATAATAGAAATATTAGTTGATAGGAGACAACATTTATTTTGTTTCCTGTGAGTAAACTCTTTTTCCACAGTAGTCGTCTTTTAATTATTCTTAAACAGTCTGTTTCCACATGTTTTGCTACATGTGCTGGGATTGTTTGTATTTCATTCAAAACAAATTAGATCGTGGCATTTGATAGTAGTAGTTGAAGGAATATAATTAGCTTTGTTTTCTCTTTAGGAAGAAGACATGTTCAAACAAGATTAGTTGAACCAAGAGCCTCATCACTGAACAGTGGAGACTGTTTCCTGTTGTTAACTCCACATTTATGTTTCTTGTGGGTAGGAGAGTTTGCAAATGTCATAGAAAAAGCAAAGGTCAGTACTGTTGTGAGGTTTTGTTTATTATTTATTTTTAGAACCATTGCAGTATGTGTCTCTGGTGAAATTGAGCCTTAGTGCCAATTGTTTCATAAAGTGGCATGTAACTGATAGTCCATGACAGGGAGATACGCAGGGTTCCTGAAAATGTGTTTTAGGTCGTGCACTGAATGAAAGCTAACGTTTGTGAAGAAGTGTGTAGTTTGTGAAGCTGCAAGAGAAAAAAGGATATCCTCAGGATACAGACTGAACTAAAAAAAAATAATAGTCTGAATTGCAGGATGTCCTTTTTATTCCCATGTCCACTGAGATCAGTCTTGCTTTAAGGCAAATGAAAGAATGAATACATTTCTGTAACATTTTTTTCTAGTGTCTGTTTATTTAGTGCAATAAATAATAACCATTTCTTCTGCTATTTGCTGTATTATATCTCATTTGCCTTCTCACTGAGCAAGAATATTGCACAAGTATTCCAAAGACTTAAGCAATCCTGTTCAGATAACTGTTAATTTCTTAGGCTTCAGAACTTGCAACTTTAATTCAGACAAAGAGGGAACTTGGCTGTAGAGCTTCTTATATACAGACTATAGAAGAAGGAATAAATACCCATACCCACGCAGCCAAAGACTTCTGGAAACTCCTTGGTGGACAGACAAATTACCAGTGTAAGCATTGTTATAGATACAGTATCTGATGCTCTACCACAATAAAATAGTAGAGTCAATTCTCTTTAGTACAGATAGTTGGAAGTTAATATTTTTTTGTTATTTTTGACAATCTTTTCCTTAAGCCGCTGGAAGTCCTGAAGAGGATGAAATGTATGAAGCTGCAATAATAGAAACAAATTGCATTTACCGCCTCGTAGAGGATAAACTCATTCCTGAGGATGACTACTGGGGAAAGGTGCCAAAATGTACCCTGCTACAACCAAAAGAGGTATTGTGCTACTTACTGCTCCTGTGGTAAGTGCAGGAACATGCAACTGATAATGATTTGCAGTAACTGCAAATGCTCGTGGAGAGGATCACTGAACACTGAGTCCTCTGTGTCTCTGAAAGGCTTCTGCACACTTTGCTGTCTAGAGTGTGCTGCAGGTCTCAAGAAATTAGATCACATTATCTTTAAAGTAAAATACTATTTTAGGAAGTGTAAATCTCTTTTGTCAACAGTGGCTTACCCCAGAATCATGAAATGAAAAACAAGTAGCACTTTGGAAAAACAAAACAAAATAAAACCTGGTTTTATTTCTATCCGTAGCAGACGTTTCCAACATTTCACCTGTCTAAGTCAGAATGAGAGCAGGTTTCTAAAATGAAGATATGATGTGTTTTCTTGAAAGTATTGAAGTCACTGCCTTTTTGTCTATATTGTGTGTTCTATATTGTACAGCCTTCCCTGGCTGTAGGACAAGGCATAGGTCTAAATGAAACTGGACAGCTACCAGTCATGCAACAGAACCAGGTTTTAGCAGTAAGAGCTCTCTAATCTGCTAGTGACTTCAACCACCTAAAGATACACCTCACAGCATTTCCCCTACTTGCTTCCAGTCATCCTCAAAAACTGGAGATCACAGTGCAGACCACTGCCCTGCCCTTACTTGCATGGCAGTGCTACTTGTTAATGTCACTGAAGAAACTCGTATGTGGAGGAGTTTCTGATAAGCACAAGGAAACTGGAGGATCAGGGTATTGCCTAACCTAATGGTAGGTTGATTTTTTTTGTTTGGTTTTGATTTTAGGTGCTGGTGTTTGATTTTGGCAGTGAAGTATATGTATGGCATGGAAAAGAAGTTACCTTAGCACAAAGAAAAGTGGCATTCCAGCTGGCAAAACACTTGTGGAATGGCACCTTTGACTACTCCAATTGTGATATAAATCCTCTGGACCCAGGAGAATGCAATCCTCTTATACCCAGGTATTGTAACTCGAATTTAGTCTCATTGCAGATACTTAGTTTTCTTGCTCTCTTTTCACAGTGTTCAATTTGATTCTGTATTTTTTATTCCCTTGGACAGGAAGGGACAAGGACGCCCAGACTGGGCTGTGTTTGGCAGGCTCACAGAACATAATGAGACGATACTGTTCAAAGAAAAATTTCTTGATTGGACAGAACTGAAGAAACTCAATGAGAAGAATTCTAGTGAATCCCTTCACCAGAAGGTGCATATAATAAGCATGCTAGGTATTTCAAACTAGATGACCTAGTTGGGATGGCAGCCAGGGAAGCTTGTGCTCAAGGACCAAGAGCACATTTTTTCTCTTGTGGGCTTTGACCCAGGGGTCAGAACATCACCTCCTACAGTGGACCCACAGAGTTGTTTTATATTATTATTTATAGAGTATAATATACTTGTATTTTATGTTTTGTTTATATATGTTATATAATAATAATATATAATATGTTATAATATAATAATATATTATGCAGTATTTATTATTATTATTTATATATGAACCTGGCAGCTCAATGAATAGTGCTGAGGTGGCTTTGATAGGGCATCAAACAATGACAAGATACTAAAGTACTGAAATATGCAGGAGTCAAAATGTTTGACTAGAACTGTGGAGCAAGAGGAAAAAAATGCTGTGCTCAAAGAAATCTCTTCTCTGTGTTTTCTGACAGGAAGAATCCAAATCTGACTCTAAACCATATGATGTCATGTTGATGGTAGCTGTGCCTCAAACAACTGTGGGCACAGTCTTGGATGGAATGAATATTGGCCGGGGTTATGGACTGGTAGAAGGAGAAGATGGAAGGCAGTTTGAAATTATCACTGCCTCTGTGGATGTCTGGCACATCCTGGAATTCGATTATAGTAGACTGCCTAAGCAAAGCATAGGGCAGTTCCATGAGGGAGACACATATGTGGTGAAGTGGAAGTACATGGTGAGCACTACAGGTTAGTGAACAATTCCATTTCGTCCTGCTGAAACATGTAGAAGTACAGCTAAAACTCCTGCTGTTAGTGATGAGATCCAGACCTAGATATCCATGGATATGAGACAGTTTGAAAGGTTAGGGATGCTAATTTAGGCTTCCTAGGTCATTAAAAAGTAAAGTTCCACATTTTCTTTAAGACAGCAGTAGAAAATAAAGACATTGTAGTTGTTTTTCATACATAAATGTAATGCTGTCCATCTCTGCTTTTACTCACCATTGGTGGTGTACAGTTCACAGGACAGTTCATTAAGCCAGAATTATGCCCATATCTTAACACCAAAATAACTAGGCAGCTGGACTAGTGGCAGTGGTCTGAATGTCTTGCAAGAGAGGTAGGCTTAGCAACAAGAAAAACCTTTGCTGGTTATGGAGATCAGTAACAATGACAGGAAAAGCCCTTGCCAGCTCATTGCCCTTGCTATCCCTTCTGTTGTTGCTGGAAACCCTTTGATCTGGATTTGAGGCTCAGCAGTGTTCTGACAAGGAGCCTGAGAGTGGCAGGTAAAGCCTAAGAACCAGTCAGCTCTATAAGCCCGTTGGAACTTCCTTTCTGGCACTAAACTAAGAATAGGTGTTTTTTTGTGGTAAGTTAAAGACAAATAGTCTAAAACTGATTGTTCCAAATAGCAGTATATTAAGGTCGGTTGAAAGGACCATAACAGTTATACAACTTCAGGCTTTTAGCCAAAAAAGTGTAGGTAGGTCTTAGTCAGGATCGCTGAGATCAGATACTGGGAAATCCAAGAAAAATACAAAAGCTTGTAAGTCTTGGGAGAAGTGGGTAACACTAGTACAGAACTGTAAACAGACTTCTAATCCAAATGGATGAAAATATATTCAATCACTCCAAAACAGAATAAATTTTTATGTAGGAGGCAGTACTTTTATGGGCTGGATGTACAGATAAGAATGAAACTCATAAATTTTAGAAGTGAGTAGTGGTTTGAGTATTCTCAACTTGAAAAAAACAGGATGCTTTCTCCTAAGTGTTTCAGTTGGATGCTGCTCAGCAATGCTGGAATCAAGGCAGATGTTTTAACATTTTTTTAAATCTGTTTTAAAACTCTTGGGTTTTTAAAAATCTTTTATTGAATTATACTTGCTTATTCCTTATTCAGTGGAAAGTGCAAAATGCTATAAGTGGTTGTGTTGTGAATTTCACTTGCTGTAAACATTATTTGCTCATCAAAACAACTAAATACCGATTCTTAAGAAAAAAAAAAAAAAGCAGCTGCTCTCCTGCTGCCAAAGAACAGTGTGTAATGTGGAAAATGAGCCATAATGCACTCTACTGGTAACATTACTGGACATGCCATTTCACATGCAAATTGGCTCAAATGCTGTCAGTTATTTTTCTTCAGATAGTAACAGCTCTTTCTACACCTCTTTCTCCAACCAACACAGGCATCTCTGCCTGTGGGCTTACATCCACTGAGGAGACATGCCAGCTCTGCACAGGGACGCTCTGGCTTGGAGACCTAATATTCCTCCAATTGCACGTTTTTTCTTTCCTGTTCTGGATGGAATAGTGCTGAGCTGGCAGATGAGATTAAACCATGTGCTGTTTAAACCTATAGCCAAAGTACTTTCTTCAGCATGTGCTCTCTGTTTCACAGTTGGAAGCAGACAAAAAGGAGAGCAACAAGTACGGGCTGTTGGAAAAGAGAAATGTGTGTATTTCTTTTGGCAAGGAAGGCACTCCACAGTGAGTGAGAAAGGAACATCAGCACTCATGACAGTGGAACTTGATGAAGAAAGAGGAGCACAGGTGAGCTTTCTAGACGGTAGACCTGGTAAGATTTGTCTGTCTGGGTAGCTACAAACAGTAATCAGGAATTATCTTTTTTGCCTCCGCCCTTTGCTGTAAACGTGTTCTTGTCATTACAAATAGACCTCAAAATTACTTTTGACATTATTCCAACTGGCAGAGACACTCCTTTATGGATTTATCCTTTATGGATTGTCATTCTCAAATGCTGCTTCTAAGGATATTTTTTAAAAAGGCTGAAAGAGAAGGTCTTTTTTCCCTTCCCTGCAGGAATAGATGAAGCATACTCACACAGATTCATACCATCCTTTCAAGTACATGTTCAGATGGCAGGACTGTCTTCCTAGTGCTAAGGAGAAGCACTTTCCGCAGGCCAAGGCAAAAAAAATACATTGGAAATTTTCAATTTACTTACTCTATACTTACATACTAATTGCATTGTTTGCAGAGATTCTAGCAAAAGCTGTTTGAAGCTGAGAGGACAGGCTTGTTTGCTTTGTCCTTAGACAGACTTGGGCTTTGCTGTGGCTTCACTGTTTACCTGCATACAAGATAGGTGGTTTAAAGGTAGTTTCTGTACCGTGATCCTGCTTTAATTAGGTTTTTAACAGCAGCATAGAAATGACCAGCAAGACAGGAGTTCATAGAGGAGAAATATAAGGGCCCTTGATCAAGAGTGTGAGAGTCTCTGCAACATAGCTGATTCAGGAATTGGCTTTATCAGTTTCATACTCCAAATGCATTGTTTAGTGAGGAAAAACATACATCATAGAAACCAGTTTTATAGCAAATTTTGAATTTACTTCTCCATAATGGTTCCAGTGAACACCAGTCAAGGTGGACAGGTTCTGTAAAAATTCATAAAATTCAAAAAATGGTTAGTTTAAACCAATTTAAATTAAAGTTCATTTGGTATTCCATTATCCTCTGAAGTTCAATTGTTGGTTTCCAGCTAGAGGTTTCTTTTAATATGCAGGCCACATATGGAACCCATTGCATGCTGATATATGGTAATTTAAACAATAGTCAGCAGTTGTAAAATAGAAGGAAAGCTATCTTCATGGGTGGCCATAACTATATAATTTTTAATAATCCATAGAGACCAGTTTTCCTGATTCTGAATACTTGCTTTACTTTTCTAATGAAGAATGGTGCTTTCAATTTCCAGGTACAAGTGCTTCAAGGGAAAGAACCACCATGCTTCTTGCAGTGTTTCCAAGGAGGGATGATTGTGCATGCTGGAAGAAGGGAAGAGGAAGAAGAAAATGCACAAAGTAAGTTATTGTTAGTTAAGAGTTTCTGCCCCAAAATCCTTTCCTAGCTGTTGTGGAGGGCTTTGTATTCAGTCTCAACCTCCATGCTCTGTAGAAAAGAAAAATGAATGCCATAAAAGCTGTCTTGAGACAGCTTTGCAATGCTTTGTTTCAAGGTAGCCTTTTTCTTCTTTGAGCAGAGAATAGATTTTGTCACCCTAGAACATGCTGACTTGATTGTATTGATGCACGTACTATTTTTTTTAGTTTAGTTTTTCTTAAGCCAAGTGCTCATTTGCTTTAAAGTATGTTCTTTCCTACACAGTCTGGGCAAGAGAAGTGTTTTTATGAACATTTCTTCTCCTCCAAAGAAAGCTCTAAGCTTTTATTACCCAATCATTGCTTTTTGTAACATACTCCTTGAATGCAGTAGTTGAGGTAGGAGAATTTCAGTGAAAGTGTAGCTTGGAGATGGTTCCAGTTTTCACTTGACTTATGTTCCTAAGGTGCAGAGGGGAAGAGGAGCTGAATAGGAAGAATACTGTGTTTGTTTCCCTTCTTCACCATATGAAACAGTAGAACTTGACTCTTCTGCTCAGTTAAGCTCTTCAGCTCTCAATACTTGTACTCTCATAGCAAGGCTTTAGAAGGCATCTTTTCTGCACTGGGTTTCTATAGTAATGTTAGCCAAACCTGGTGCTTAGCTAGTTCATTCTGTGACAACGTAGGCAGGCAGTAGGTGAAATTCATCCAGTATGAGAACAGCTGTTCCAGAGCAGAGGTTTTGAATTTTCAGTCCCATATGATTTTACAATAGTGCTGCACTGTTCCTGTCTGCTCCAGGTGATTGGAGGCTTTATTGCGTGCGAGGAGAAGTTCCCAATGAAGGAAACTTACTGGAAGTAGCGTGTCACTGCAGCAGCCTGCGCTCCAGGACATCCATGATTGTCCTCAATATCAACAAAGCTCTCATCTACCTGTGGCATGGCTGCAAAGCACAGTCTCACACCAAGGATGTAGGAAGAACAGCAGCCAATAAAATAAAAGAACAGTGAGTGTCTGAACTATATTTTGGAGATTATTATATAGACTACCAATTTACTTGAAGTACTCTAACTCAAAGAAAATTTTAAATAAATAAAGCTGTCCTCTAAATACAAATACAGCATGTGGATGCTTAGACAGGAGGAGGAGTGAAGGCTGGTTGGTTTGGTAGAGTGGAGAAAACTCCGTAATTGCTTTCACTAGAGGTCAAATACATTTATTAATAGACTCATAGAATGGTTTGAATTGGAAGGGACTTTAAAGATCGTCTAACTCCAATCCCCCTGCCATGGCAGAGATAACTTCCCCTAGACCAGGTTGCTCAAAGCCCCATCCAACCTGGCCTTGAACACTTCCAGGGATGCAGCAACCACATTCTTCCTACTATACTAATTACAGTTAAAACAAGTCCTTTTCCATTTGGAGTGAGATGCTAAACATCTGAATAGCAAATTAAACTGCATTTGATAGGAGGATTAGAATCCAGCCTTGTGAATAAGGAAGAGGAAATTAACTTGGGAAAGCATGCAAGGAGGACAGCAGCCATTAGAAAAGCAGGCCGTGGGAATCCCTACTGAGAATTCATGTGAGCATCTCCTTCACTCTGGGAATGGGATCCAAATGCTGCAAGAATAGCTGTTGAAATTCTCTGCCTTGTTTTTCGATAATTTTTCAAAGTGCCTATGTTGGTATGAAGTGTGCAACAAGCCTATAGGCTACTTTTGGGGTCCACTAATGCGAGTGGCCAGCAGGTCTGTGTTAGCTGTGTTTGGGGCAGGACCATTGGGTTCACTCTTTCTTTGTGTTTTGTAGGTGTCCGCTGGAGGCAGGGCTGCACAGCAGCAGCAAGGTGACGATTCATGAATGTGATGAAGGGTCAGAGCCCCTGGGATTCTGGGACGCACTGGGGAGGAGAGATCGAAAGGCCTATGATTGCATGTTGCAAGGTAGACCTGCCTTCCTGGATTTGGCTCTCCCATTTTACTTTACTAGTCTCTGGTGTTGTCAGATTTAATGTAAAATTTTTGAAGAACTTTTTGGTAGTCAAGTTCTTCAGAGAAATGCTTCCAAAAATCTTACTGAGTTAAGTAATACTATTCTAGAAGGAAAGTACTGGAAAACCAAGTGTTTCATTTTGTTCTCCCCCGCTTCTGCTACCCCTCTGTATTCGGGCAGCACAGAGCAATAGTTAACGCTGTTACCAATGTATTTTGCTTCTCTTCTGAAGGGATTTAAGAGGCAGTTCTGCACACATTCCTGTCCAGCCTTTGCTTTGAAACTGCCAACAAAGGTAGCAGGGGAATTGATTTACCAAGTGGAAAATGTATCAGCTAACTCTGAGATGGGCTTGCTTCACTTAAGCTGCAAAACAGCCGGTTATGAAATGGCTGATAATAACTAACCAGGATCAGATTCAGACTGATGGCAGCCAGCCGCTCAGCTCGACTCCTTTACAGCTGTTCCCAGTCCCTCAAGACATCTGGTTGTCTTTCCTGATTCTTCAAAACCCAGAAAATTTACAGTCACTTTTAAAGTGTATTGTTAGTTTTTACAATTAAGTCTAACATTTTTTTGTGGTGACTCTCCTTAATTTTTGTTCCTTAAAGATCCTGGAAAGTTTAATTTCACACCCCGCCTGTTCGGCCTCAGTAGTTCATCAGGAGAATTCTCAGCCACTGAGTATGTTTACCCTTCAAGAGACCCTGCTGTCATCAATTCCATGCCATTCTTGCAAGAGGATCTTTACACTGCCCCACAGCCAGGTATGTACTTTAAAATACTTAAGTGACAAGAAAACAGATAACTGTATTCTGCATGGGCAGTGTCTCAGGAATTGTAAGCATTTTTAACTTGATATATCACAGGAAAATGTGTGCATGTGATGCTTATACAGGACTAAGCAAAACCAGTAATTTTTCCATGATGAAGATGCTGAGGAATAATCAAGTGTATGTATGTGTCCCAGAAGCTTACTGTAAAAATACATTGTTTATATCAGAGAATCAAAGTCCAGCTGAAGTTTAGCTGGATGATTAACAAAAGGGATTGGTAAGATGTGAAATGATCCTGTTGTGATGCTGACAAGCATATAAGACTGGGTTGTTTAGGGGATTACAAAAACTAATAAATGGCTAATGATGGATTTGGTATTTTCTTACTGTGTAGCACTCTTCCTTGTTGACAATCACCATGAAGTGTACCTGTGGCAAGGCTGGTGGCCTGTGGAGAACAAAATCACTGGATCAGCTCGAATCAGGTGGGCTACAGACAGGAAATGCGCCATGGAGACAGTGCTCCGGTACTGCAAAGGTAACAGACTGCTGTGCCCGGCTGCTCTGAGTGTGTCACACCTGCCCCTGCCTTCTATCCTGAGCTGAGAGGGGCTCCCCCAATGTTATCAGTAAACATCAGTGTGTTTGAAGATACATTCTCCACTCTTTCTTAGCAAACCATTTGTCTAGTAACAGCGTTGTTCCCAAATTGCCAAGATACTCTACTGACTCTGGTCTCAGTGGAAAGGCTTTATTTATTGTGTTACACCTCAGATTCACAAGTTAACAGTTTAAACATTCTCACTTAAGCCTCCCAGCTTAAGCTTAGTTGGTCGTTGGCAGGACACTTCTGCTGAGTATACCAGAAGGTTCTGTTTACCTGAATTTGGCTCACTTCAGACCATCACACTCTGCTTACTCTATTCTAAGTCTGTTTTTGTAAGATAAGAAATGCACTGGGTTAGAAATAGCCGTTGGGGATTTTCAGCATATATGTTTTAATCTTTGCAGTCACATACAGTAAAAGGCAGGTGTAAGAAGACTGAAAAACATGTTAAAAGGTCCCATATTAATTAAAAATAAATCCTGGAAAATGTATTCTTTCTGCCTTAAACTGCTTCAGCTTTTCAAGAAAAAATTAAATACCCTTAGGAAGTAACTTTGGATAGTGAGTGAGATTGCAAAATACCGTACCTTTTGTAATTTCTTCCTCTTTTTTTGTATTTTGACTGTTTTTAGGAAAAAATGTAAAGAAGCCCCCGAAATCCTATCTAATTCATGCTGGCCTAGAGCCTCTGACGTTCACTAATATGTTCCCAAGTTGGGAGCACAGGGAAGACATCGCTGAGATCACAGAAATGGTAAATCTTTTCATTGCATTATCTCTTTCCTATTGCTAGTAATTGTGTCTTGTGTTGTCAGTAACATTGGTTGTTTCCATGTCAAGCCCAAGATCCAGAGAACAAACTTAGAAAGCACAGTTCAGGAGTCTGCACAGGAAAAAAAAAAACAACACCACACCTAAATTCTGACTGGGAATGTGTATTATCAGAGGCATTGCTGTTTTATTTTTCATGTAATTTCTCATATTCTTTTTCTGATAAAAACAGAAGGCAAGTGTTACCTGAATCATCTCTTAGAAAGAGATATGCTAGAGTTTGAGCTTAACAGAACAGCTGTTTCACTCATGCAGCAATGTGCAGTTCTGGTCTGTTCCCCAGATTTGAAGAGCACGGGAGCAAAACACCTCTCAAAGGATCAGCTGACTCCAAGGGCTCTGTTATTACTTCCTCACCAGGGATTCAGAGTCACAGCCAAATTATATGTGGCTGCTTTAAAAGCTTTCAATCAAGGGGCATCTCAACACAAATGACATTTTCTGTTTTGTAAGTCTTCTGCAGCCATCCTTAGTAGAAAATGCTGGCTTCATGACTAAACACAGATTTCAGCCTTAAACTGAGATTCTGGGAGTACAGGATGTCCTTCTGCTAAGTGCAGGCCTGTTTTTAGTTGTGAAATTGTTGTAGGGCAGGTCTGTTGGCCTGTGTGCACACCAGGATGTACAGCTTTGTGCTCAGGCATATCCCATGCCATCTGTGGATGGCCATGGGCACAGTTGAGGGTTTCAGCATTGTGATCCTGTTCTCTGTTTTCTCCTTCCAGGACGCTGATGTTTCTAATCAGATAATACTTGTAGAGGACGTACTGGCCAAGCTGTGTAAAACAGTGTATCCATTAGCAGATCTCTTAGCTAGGCCTCTGCCTGAGGGAGTTGATCCACTGAAGCTTGAAATTTACCTTTCAGATGAGGACTTTGAGGTAAGGAGAGAATAGGTGCACTGTTGCTCTGTTCATCTATGCCTAACCATGCAAGAAAGTAATTTGCTGGTTGTGCTACTCATCAGTTGTTTTTGCTAATAGTACATCCTCTCATTTTAAATGCAGGTTGCATTGGAGATGACAAGAGCGGAGTACAATGCACTGCCATCTTGGAAGCAGGTTAACCTGAAGAAGGCAAAAGGACTTTTCTAAGCCATGTTCATGGAAGTGAGCACTTAAAGGGATGTTCACTCTCACTTTCTATGTCATTTAGAAGATTTGTACCCTACATTTACAGAACAAATAAAAATAATCTGAAGTTATTAGTGACTACCTATCTGGAGGTGTGTAATATTATAATAAAAGGCCAAGAGAACTCTTTGAAAATGGAATTCAATTTTGACTCTTAAAGGTAATGGGTTTAAGCTCCGTTCTCCTATGCACTTAAACAGTAGTTTCTTGAGCTACTGCTGCAGGTGTCCTTTGGTTATATCCAATACTTGCCATTTTTGTTTTTAAAGAAGTTCTCTTTGTAAAGTGTTATTTTGTTAGTTTGTGGATTACAAAGAATTTATATTTATATAAACACATAGAACAAGTATGTATTTAACAATGCAATATATAGTCACTTTCAAGACTTCCATGTCAAAACTACAGAAAAGTAGCTGGATGGCAGTTGCTTGTACCAAATTAGCTATACCACCAATATATATCTCCTTTGCATTCTGAAAAGTTTCTCTTTGCAATAGTTAATGAATTGTTCTCAGTGCTGCTTCAGGTGCTAAACCGAACAAAGCATTTGTATTTATAGCATGGATTTCTTGAGAAACTATGCGAATCAACCTTTATACTTTATATCCAAAAATGTATAGTGCCTTGTTTTTTGTGTACAGTTTATATACAAAAAAAAAGATTGGTCTGCATTTTGAAGATGGCTTAGAACAGTCTCCTATGTTACTTTTATAATAGTAGAAATAAAAACATCTCAATTTCTAATACTTGTTGTAAACATTAAACATGTCTTTTGTGATATAAGAACCGAAAGTAAAAGCTTCTGAATAAACTCTTAGCGATGCTCTGACTTGTCATTAATTTGTACTGTAATCTGTACTAGCATTGGAACCTTCCAAAACATAGTATTTTCTCAAAATATTGTAACCTTAGGTGTCTGTGGGTATTGTACAGAGTTATAATTTGAGAAGCAGATAATATAGAAAATAATTGATGTATGAGATAAAGTTGGGCAAAACTTTAATGCTGAATGTTGGAACATGTCAGTCACACAACTCTGTATTCTTTGCGTTTCCCTGTTTTATATACAAAACCAAAATTATTATGCTGGTTTTCAAAATTTGAAAAAATCTTTTCAACCTTTGTGCAATTAGGAGTAAAATTTGAATTGAAAATGAGCCTTGTGTCCATTCTTTCAATAAGCACTGAAGACAAAATTGGTTTTACTCTGTTAATTAGGACATTGACTAGAATCTTCGAGTAAATATTTCCTTATGGTTTAAAATGTTTTTCAGGCATTTGGCATTTCTATAATAAGCTATGTGGTTCTCCTCTGGTATCCTAGTGGTTTCACATTTTCATTCCTGGCTGCATAGCATTCTTTCTGCCCTGCAACCATTTAGAGCTGCTTCTGGCTTGGGGTGGTGCCTGTTGCTGCTCTTGTCTTTCTCCTAAGCCAAGAGACTTGATGTTGGATTTTTGAATTCGTGAGTGTGGATTTCTGCAAGATCTGCAGTAAGTATTTGCTCCATAGTTAAAGTCAATCTTGTTTTGACAGATGGGTTGGTAAGTTGTAACCAAGTCTTTAAGTAAATGAATTAAACACTTAGAAATATGCAAGTAATATTCACCTGACATCACATATAGCAGGTGAATTTTCAGCACTGGAGTATTTCCTTTCATGTACTGGTTTCTGTCAAGAACCGAAATGAAATAACCCAAGAAAATGTTAGGAACAGTATTCAGAGCCAGAATGCTTCTTACATAGATGCCAGCAAAAGGCTGTTTAGATGCCAGTTCCTCAGAGGTCCTCAGATGCCTTCTGCATGGGATACACTGTTAGTTTGAAAATGCATGGCTTTATAGCAACAAGTTAATTTTTCAAGCACTGAGATGTTTCCAAGTCACTCCTGTAATCATCTAAGCACCCATATATTTTTCCTCTTTCACCCTCTCTGGTGATAAAATCAAGCAGGAATTATGTTTTGATTATTCATGTTCATTCTGTACCATGAGGGTACCAGGTTCCTCTGTTTTGATTTTTCTCTCCAACAGAGAGCTGATTTGCATAGTATGATTGACCTTGTTTTTCCCTCTGGCAGGGTAGTATCATTTGCTTTTGTTTCTGAAAATATTGTCAGTCCTTCAAGTGCTGCTGAAGGGCAACATTCACCCACCTCTAAACCCTTTAGAATCTCAGCTGAAAGACGAGCCAGCAAGGGGGCCACAAGCACTGAAATAATTCACTGTTTTCAGATCTCAGAGTTCCTGTAAATTTTGCACTATTTCATATCTAATGGCCCAGTTCCATGAACCAGGACACAGAAGTCAACTTTCTACCTGAGTGGTTTGCTCATAACATTCCCTAGGAAATCTTTAAGGCTTTGCAGAAAATACTTTATTATCCATTATATACTTGATACTTATCAAAATGCTTTCCTGAAATATGAAGCTGACAACAGCAAATCAGTGAAAGGCAAATCAGTATAAGGCCTTAGACTTGTAGATTATGCTTTAATTTTCTGCTACCTTCCCTCTCCACTATAGGGATGCCATTTATGGTTGGAAATTACAAAGGGCCATTAAAATATTCTTGTACTGGTTTTAGAGCCCTGCACGGGAAATAGAGCTGAAACATCTTGTCTGCATGGGGGGACAGGGTTAGTTTGGTTGCTTGCCTGGGTGTTCTCTGCTTTTTACTAATAGACACCCAAGAACTCTATGTTTAGGCAAAGTTTCTGGTGTAGGGAGTCTGCACATGAAAAAGTTAATACACTGAACATGGCATTCTGTGTTGTCTGTAAGTCCCATAGCTCCCAGGCTTTCAGGCATTAGGTCATGATTATATTTCCTACAGTTTTAAACTGCCCCATCCGGACTCTTGAAAGTGTTGTTCTTTGATAATACAATTATTCCTGCCCACATAAGGATTTGTTAGCAGCGAAATGGGCTGGAAATGTGAATATATTGGTATGCCAAAATAGCAAATAAAACATTGTCTGAAAAATCTGCTACCTGAATGTGGCAGCTAGAAGATGAGAAAAAATGGGAGATAGGTAAAAAGAGAAAAAAACAAAAATAATCTTTAATTATTTGGGAGAACTTTCTTCTGTCCACCACTGTCCCACCAGTCTCCCAAACAGGTACTTAGCTGAGGAGGAGTTGTGGACCCATGTGCAGAACTGGGTCTGCAGAAAGCTGATTCAGAGCTTCTCTGAAAGTCTGTGGTGCTTTTGTGGAAAGGGGCAGTGGCATGTTGCTGTGGTGAGTTCCAGTGTTTGCACAGCCCTGCTGGGATAGAGGTTTTGGCTGGTGGAACAGGCTCCCCACAACATCAACCCTTCTTGGCTGCACTATGTTTGACCAGTTTCTGCTTCTAACTCCCAGTCAATGTTTCTCTTTTGGATCAAGTAGCAGATGAGGTGAAACAGCTCAGTAATATTCTTCAAAGTGCCTGCTTTCCACTGAGGCCCCAGTTCACATGATGCACGTTCCCAGTATGATGCAGGTTGCCAACAGCTGACGCTGCAGGGAATTCCCTTTTGGGCACAGGGTAAGGACTGTGCTCAGCCAGTCAGTACTGGCTCTGAGGACACTTCCCTTCTCACAGGGCAGCAGCATGGGCTTGACCATACAAGCCTGAGATGCTGCCTCAGGTAGGTGAACAGTTTTGACTTTTCTCCTGAGATTGGATTGGTGAATTGATGGGGATGAAGGGATTTGGGGTGCAGTGCTTGAAATGCCAGCTTTGTTTTTTCTCCTCTGCTCTCATATGTATATGCCCTGTAAGATTAATGCTGATTTGTGTTATTTTCATGTAATTTGATTGATGGAGTAAGAGAAGCACCTGGAAGAACAGCTAACCTGAGAGTAACAGCTAATTGTATCTCCTGCTGCTATCGAGGTAAGGTAGTAGCTAAAACTGCCCAAAGAACAGCCTAGAGAGTTAGTGCAGTTTCCTCATTCTGGCTCTGTGGATAAGTTTTGTTGAAACCCCTGACTGTGGGATGGTGCTGTCACAGTGTTAGTTTTCCTCTATCTTAATTCAATGATCTTGGTCCTATAATAATAATTAAATATTTTAATAATATTTTTTCCTTTGCATTAAGCTCTGTGTGTGTTGTACTGGCTTCTTGCTAGCAGTATTTTTCTGGGTGCTGACTTGTGATCTTAGAGGTGAACAAGTGCAAAATCTCTCATGGACAAAGGCACAGCCCAAATAACTGAGTGATAAGTACAACCAATCCCAGCAGAAAAGGGATGCAGCCATTTGTTTTGTGACTCATAGGTCATCTCAATATCTGTGTAGCAGCCCCAAGATCTGCTCTGTATTAAGAATGTTTCATGGGGATTTTCCAGTTTATGAGAGTCAGGGGTAGATGTGGGAAATGCACAGCTATGTGGCAGGATTTCACCAGCCATTCACCTGGCAGCCCTTTCTCATGGGCAGGACAGTTCTCTTCCACGTGTCTCTGTGCTCTGGGGTCACCGAGAGTAGTGTGGGCTGGAAGCCAGTCATGTGGGGACTATTCCAACAGCTGGAAAGCCATTGAAGAAGCAAACCCAACCAGCCCATAGTACTGCATGATGTAGAGTTGAAGCTAAGTAAATCATCATCTCTGTGTCCCTCCTAAAGTGCAGCATATTTCAGAGGAATGGTGAAAAAGAGGGAGTACCATACACTCTGCACACCATCATGTTTTCTGCAGCTGGTACTTTGCCTTTGGGTGCTCCCTGTCCTTTATTCCTTGGAGAATTGGTGCAGTGTGCCCAAGTGCCCAGGCAGCAGACACATAAGATCAGCAGCAGGGACTGCATGTTCACGTTTTCATGTCAAATCTTGTGCTCATCACAAGGATGTAAAATCCCAGAAGCAAAGATGTCCCCATCCTGTTTATACAGCCACAGTCATAAGGGCTGCCCCATGACACATTCACATGCAGACCTGGTCCACTGACAGTTGCCCTCTTGGCAACAGAGTGGCACTCTATAAAGCTTTGTAAATCATTCCTGCTCAGTAGAGCCTCTTGAACTAAGAATATATTTTCACAGCAAGGATCAGACAAGGCAAATTTCTTACATTCTGTTGCTAAAAGATACGATATTTATGTAAAAGTAACATTCATTTTCTCCTCTCTCATTGCAGTAAGGAGCTGGGGTATGTGAAGAAAACTCTTCTTTATCTATTCAAACAGAAGACAGTGTCAGCTGTAGAGATTCATGGTAAAAGGTACTGATTGTGCACCTGAGGTCCTTGGCTCTGCTACACGTGCTGCACACACAGTCCAGGCCCTGTGCTGGCAAACCCTTGCAGTCATGCATTTCTACACTTCTGGCTCTGCAGAGCCAGCCAAGCTGGAAGGGGCCTTGAGGGGCTACCTGCACCACAGCTGCCAATATTACCTAAACCACCTCAAGCTTCTGCTCTCTCCTCTGCAGAGACCTGCCCATGGACTTGTTAAGTTACTGAACCAGAGAAAAGTCTTAGAGTGCATGCACTGCTGAAAGAGCAAGGCAAGTCAGGAGAAAGCAATCTGTAGAGAGCCCATTTGCTATTTCACTAACTGATACCTGCTCAGCTTCAATTTTACACTCCCCTATCTCCCTCTGCAGCCTGTGTGTTCCAGGCTGTGCTAACCAGCACATTCATTTTACAGTGGCAATTGCTGAGCCACTTGTGCTTTGTAGCAGAACACTGATTCCTTTAATTTAGAAATGTGCTGTATAAACTGTTAACTGTTTGCACATGTGGCTATTAATTGTCTTTAAGCAGCCAGTAAACATCAATGCAATCATTACCCTTGGTCACGGCAACTGCCTGTGAGGAAAGGCACCTGCTTCCTACTCCCAAAATTGG